GTCGCGCCTCGGCAGTGAATGTCAAGCCCTCCGAGTGAATTTTTTGGCATTAAATATAAAGCTAGTATATATATAATATATATATATATACATATATATTTTTGTAAATGCTTCTTTTGTTTTTTTTTAATTTTTTTTAATTATATTTTGTAGCCATTCTATAGACAGAATGTCGGGTTGTAGGGCACTCTGTTACCTACTCGATTATAAATACCGTGTTTTTTAGTTGTATTTACCTATAAAATTCTATATATTCACTTTTTAAATATGCTCTTAGTCGATAACAAGTAAGCACACGAATCCCAGCTCTCTTTATTAGTCCAAATTGTTTACGAACGTGCATTTAGGGAGGGTGAAGTCTTAGCAATAATAAGAAAAAGTAGTGAGAGTAGAATTATACAAGTACTTCTATATTCACATATGTATGTACTATAAGAATGAAGTGAAGAAGTTGAAAAAGTGAAGAGAAAATCATTATTTATAAAATTAATTATTTGCAAAAATGACCGGATTTGTAGTAATTATTCAAACTACAAGCCTAAACTGCTAAATATTGTGGAAGTGACAGACCTTGGCCTTTTAAAAATTCAGGGGCGGCTGTATAAAGATCTGGCCGGAACTTTTGGATTTTAGAAGCCTCTTTCGACAGCCAAGCCTTACCCTGGGAAAATTCTTGCACGCCTACACCGCTGGTAATTCTAATATTAAACGCTTTAAAGCTATAAGAGTTATTGTAATTATGATAATAAATTTATGGCCTTTTAAGTGTTGCAATTTTAAATAATTCTGAAGTGGAATCAAATGCCATAGAAATATTTTTTGTAGTCTAGTACTTGTTTAAGTTACAAAACATTATTTTTCAGCTCAGTTATGGCATATCAAGCGATGCACAACGTACATTAATTCAGTTGTGGAATAGAATCTAACGAAAAATAATAAACAATATTTTATATCTTTCCACAATCAACGATGAAGTTAAAGTAATAAAATGTATCCAAATTGGTTTTCAATTGTTATTAAATTATAAACCAATTATTTTATGTTCGCCAAACATGCATTCGCGCACCAATTAGTTAACTGCAGCCACGTAAAAGAGCGCAACACATAAATGAACAGCGCAATGCAGAGCCATGGCCATGGCCACAGACAACAACAACTATACAGCCTTACCACAAATAACCAGCAACCACCAACACCACCATTATCATCTCCATTGACTCAGCCATACGTCATTAGGTTGACTTGTTTACTTGTCGCGATTGAATTGTTGATAAGTGGAAGCCCGCAAAATTGTTGAGTGGCAGTAAATATCAGAAAACAAAAAGTACACACAAATAATAATAATAATACAACAAACATGCCGCTTTAACTACGAGCTACAATATAAATAAAATGAAAAAAAAAAAAACAAAACAAAAATGCGCTTTATTTCCGTACACGCAAAATGCACGCTCCACATTGTTTCGTGCAATTGCGAATGCCTACGATTTGGCTGTACAGCCGGTAGCGCAGCGGTGCAAGGTACGACAAAACCACCAACTGTCAAGTTGCGAACTTTAAAACTTCATGTAAATACGAAAAGAAAGGTGGCAAGAGCGAGTAAACAAATATATGCGAGCAGGCGGCTAACCGCAAGCAGGTGAGACGAGTTGCAAGCCAAAGTAAAAGCTGGTGTGCGTGAGTTTCGCAACAACCAAAAAACTACTAGTTAATACACTAGTCTAAAATTGACGCTGATTGAAACTACTATACAGTGCACCAGCTTCAAAAAAAGGTTACTATTCAAGCAGCCAACTGACAAGTTTTTCAATATATCGTAACTAAAAACAACATTTACATCTCTTCTGAATTTGTGTAGCAAACTCTATGGTAACTAGTATTAAACTAGTCATCATTTAGTATCATTCACCACTCGGCTATTATTGTCATACGCAAATGAGTGCAACTCGCACGCTACATGCCACAGCCAGGCGCACACGCCACATGCCATAACGTCATACGTCATTTATTTACAACAATGTAGGAAAGGAGTGCTAAAATACGTACGTACATAAAACCAAAAAATGGATAATGCACGGAAGCAATTCAGACAGTTGGCGGTTCGATTGAAAGTGAGCAGTAAAAGTTTGAAATTCGCTTTTGACATTTGAATTAGTTCAAGGTGGTTGTGGTAAGACAGCGAGTGGGGGGCGAAAAATTGAGAAAGGGAGTCAGAAAAACTATGCGCACAGCAAATAATTGGCAGCAAGTTATAGCTAGTTAAAAATGTCTGGAGACTTTTTGCTGACTTAATTAAATATTATAAAAAAAAAAAATGAACAAGGCAAGAGGGAAATTTAAATAATTTTAGAAAGTTCAGTTTTTGAGTGCCGAAAAAACGAGTCTGCAGTTAATATTACCTAGCAAAAATACAGAATTACAATCAATTCTCTCTCTCTCTCTTTCTCTCCCTCTCATCAGTTAAGATTTCCTTAAATATCACAAGACAATAACTGTTTATTAAAATAACATAAAATTAAAATAATAAATGTGATAATTTGACAAAGAAAATTGTGATGTGAAGTTAATTTACGAGAGCGAATTCAACTGTCGAGAAGCACGCAATGTTTGTGATATAATCCTAAGAATCATCAAACAACAACAACAGTGCAGAGCTAAAAAATAAAATGGCAAATCAAAACTTGTCTCGAATATTTGTATATCAAAAAAATATATGTATATAGAGAAAACCCATAGAGCGCAGCAATTTCCGCACAGCATGAAATATTTACTTTACACACACATCAAATGGCACATTTATTTCCCTACACGAAACGTGTACAAATATTCGAAAAAGTGCAGAAATTGATTGGTGAGAGGCTATGAAAGAAATAAGTCAGTGTTGGCACGAGACTTGAGCACACGTCCTCTCCTCATACATATACCATTATAAAATATTGCATATTATTCACTACACTTACGCAACAGCAATTATGCTCTTGGTCAAAAAAAAAAAAAAAATACAAAAAATAAATGAAATAAATAAATAAAAAATGTGAAAAGCTACGCAAACTTTTGCCAAAAAAACATTGTCTCACTCTGTAATAAAACACTTAAGGGGTAACATAGGTCTTGAAACTTCAAAAAATTAATATTTTTATAATTTTTTGTATAAAAGTACAAAGTGTCAGTAATATTTTCCCCAAGTTTCAAGTCGATCGAGACGAAACTGTAGAAATTAGAGAGTTTTATAACCCACTGTCGTTGTCATGGTTTATCAAGTTTGATGGCGAAACTTTATCGAAAAGCGGTAGTCAAAATTTCTCAGCGTTCGAGTTCAAATTTTCCACACTTCCACACAGCATGTTTTTGTAGCCCCTGAACGAAGGATTTATTTTATCTTCGATTTCAACTCATTTACAAGCCGATATGTGCCTAATTTTCGGCAAAAAACTACGTTTTATGTAAAAACGCTAGAAAAAAATCAACTTCTAATTTTTTTATTTTTTTTTCGTTCCGGGAAAAGGAAATTAACCTCCTTTAAGAAAAAAATTAGATTTTTGATTTCAGATAAAAATTGAAAGTCATCATGACTACCGCGAAAGCACTTTCTTGTTGACGGTCTTCTTCACGACACTGCCAACACCTTAACTTATACAATTTTTCCCTCAAATTTTCAACAAATGTTGTACTTTTATATGTGATATCGTTTTGAAAACTTTCAGAAAATAAGCTATTTTTGGCCTTCAAGTCCCTTGTAACCCCTTAATATGAAGTGAATGAAGTGCAAAGTTGTTGATAAAATCGATAGCAAAGAAATGTCGTCGTCTCCCGCAGCCGCAAATCTTCTAATTAATAAACTGAATTAAAACAAAATTCAAGGGGAATAATTTTTTTTATTAAAAACGAAAGGAACCTGATTTTTTTTATTTTCCATTCATAACATTATTTGCATAAAAAGTTTCCAGCTTTAAAACATATTGAATCTGTCACAGTATTCCACAGTTGGTGACGAAAGTACCGTTATTTGTCGATTTTTTTGTATGCCAAGCCCGTATTTTGAACATTCCCTTATCTGTTTAATATCGTTTTACATTGATCAAGAGCAAAAAAATTGAGCTATAAATTCTAGAAGAATTCGAACAACGTCATGACAAAGTGGTAATGCTTGGAACAAATTATTCATATCTGTTCAAAAACCTTAACATTAATGACTACAAGTAAGGTTTATTTCAAAAAGTTATAAATTTTGTGTGAATAAATTCAAAGTTACATTCATTAAAAAAAACTTTTTAGCGTAGAGGACACAACATGGTTAAATGACTCGCAGACACTCATGGAATCAAAGAATAATACATAAAAGTCGGCATCAAGCAGTACTAAAGTCTTGAAACTAAAAAAAAGCACAAAGAAGAGTACGAGCAAGTGTGCTGAGCAGCCAATAGTCATATTTTTCCAGACAACGACGTATATAGTACTTCAATAACTGAACTACTATTGCGCAGAAAAGTTGGCTTTTGAGCAAATCTCGATATTTATTAGCTTAAGCTGTTTCTTGGCATGCGGTTGGTCACGAAGAGAGTACCAAAGAAAGGGAAAAAAATAATATTTTTACCCGTATATGTTCGCCAAATAACTTCGCATTTGAAAAACCTCCAACATATAACCTAATTAAGTAATCTAAATGCGTAGCCAAATATCGCGTTTAGTTAGTGAGTATAATAAATTATTTTACTCAACTTTTAGGCGACGGAAATTGAAACAATTACAATACAAACAACGGAAATAGCACGTTTACTGCAGTTTCGTGGAATGTACTAAAGAAAATAATCATCAAAAATAAATTATGTATTAAAAAAAAAATTTGTTCACGAATAAATCACTGTGTTGACATAAGTGAAATATCGTATCAAAGATATTTTTACATATCCATAATCGAATTAATAATATTTTTTTTTTTGGATTATGGCAGTAATTTCATAAAAAATATTTTATGGTGAAAAAATGATAATTTTACTCACCTCAGCAACTCGAATGTAATGCATAAATGTTTACGGAAATATGTATAATCCAACATATGTATAACATTATGAGATCCATCTGCATCCTTTTCGCGCAATTCATCTAATATATTCAGTTCCACCACAGCCTGATTGAGGAAACGCCTCTTATTACGTATAATTTTAATGGCCACATAAGTATTTGTTTTATGATCCATCGCGCGTATAACTTGCCCAAAACTACCCTTGCCGATCACTTCGAGTATTTCATAGCGGAAGGCAATGTGATCGTGTTCGATCTACAAAAGGAAACAAAATTATTAATAGACATCAATTAATAAAAAAAATTTTTTTTTTTTCATTTATATAATATAATAATTGTTCTAGTAAAAAGCATTCCATTACTTTTGCAATAACCGTCTTTAATGATCTCTAACTGACGGTCCTTAAGTGCGATTGGATTACGCTAAAGTCTAATGAAAATACGATATTTCTTACTAAAGACGATAATAGCAGAAGTGTTGATCACTTAGCTTAGTAGTGTTTGACCGCATTTCAAAGATGGACACCAGCAAAGAGAAAATATGCTAAATTCTCATTAAAGGCAAAAATATGAATACTGTTTATGGTCCTGATAATGTAGCAATTAATGTGAAAGCTGCAAAATAGTGTGCAAGGCCGATTGTCAAAAATGTTGACCAAATAATGGAAATCGTCGAGTCTAACCGCCATGCGATCACTTTTTCTATTCCTAAGGGTTTAAATATTCACAAAAAAAACAGTGAATTTGGACCTGTACTGTCAGCAATTCGATCGTCTGAAGAACCTAGCTCTGCTCAACAGGAGAGGTAAATGGTGTATCATCATCTAGACGACACCAAATAATTCTAGATTGTCCAAAGCTTCTTGCAAATAGGGGTAAATATGAAAGGCATAGTTTAATGACATTACCGTCAAATAGACAATAAGTTATTGAGCAAAATATATGCATATTTGACATAAATCAGATAATTCTAACTAAAGGAAAATAAAGCCTTGAATTTAATTCAAAATAAATGGATTACCAAATATATACTGCACTGTTATTCTTGATGTTTTAATTGAACATACAGCTTAGTTTTTTTTTATTTCTAATGAAATTTTTTCAAATAATATTTTTTTATACTTTCTTTTAATTTTTTTTTTAATTTCTATATTTTTTTTTAAATATTTTTTTTTTTCAATAAATTTTTTTTTTAATTTTTTTCATTTTTTTTTTTTAATTTTTAATTATATCATTTTTTTTAATTTTTAATTAAATCTTTTTTGTTTAGTTTTTTATGTCTAATTGAATTTTTTCAAATAAATTATTTTTTTATTTAATTTTTTTTTTATTTTTTTTTATTTCAAAATAATTTTTTTTAATTTAAAATATTTTTCCATTTATATTTTTTTTATTTTCTTTTAATTTTTAATTATTTCTTTTTTTTTAATTTTGAAATAAATCTTTTTGTTTTAATTTTGAAAATCTTTTTTTCCATTTTAATTTTTATTTATTTTTTTTTTCATTTTTAAAATTTTTAATTTCAAATTTGCTTTTTAATTTTATATATTTTCAATTTATATTTTATTTACTTTTTATTTTGAAATATTTTTTATTTTATTTTATTATATTTATTAGTTTTTATTTATTTACATTTTGTTTTATTGTATTTAAATTTGTTTTCATTTTATTGTATTTAAATTTTTTTTTTTTTATTTAAATTGTTTTTTATTTTTAATTATTTTTTAACACACTTATTTATTTTATGAGTTTTTTAACTTTTTTTTAATTTGTTTTTAATTTTAATTAAATTAATTAATTTGTATTTTTAATTTTTTATTTAATCGTTATTTATTTTTAAGTTTTACCATTATTTTTTGTTGATACTTTTTTTTAACTTTTTTAATTTGCAATTAATTTTTTTAAATCCATTTTGTTAAGTTTTATTTATTTGTTTATTTTAATTTTTTTTCTTTTTAGTTTTAATTTTTTTTTTGGAAAATTCTTATTTACATCTTGCTTTTGTTTTATCTTTACTTACAATTTTATAATTTCCATTCTCATCATCGAATCCTAAATTGACAGTTCCATTCGTTATTGCTGGTTTATTAAAATTTTTACTGGCATTCTGTCCGAAATACCAAATCTCTTTATAAACTTTCAGTTCTTCGAACTCCACATCAGTCAAATAATTACGGTACTTCTTGACGAGCTCTAAGGGATAAGAAAATAATAATTTAATAATATTATTTGAAATAAGTTTCAGTGTAAAGTGGAATAAGATAACATTAAGAAACAATCAAAACCTACAAAATGTAAAGGATATTTAACATTAATTAAAAATTCATGTCTCTGACTTTGCTCATATCTCCATATATGTACATATGTATGCCTTTACGCATTCAAAAAAACAATAATCTTTGGTAGTTAACATCAGTGCGTATGCTGTGCTTACCTACACTGCACTCCTGGCATTTGAATATATTTCCATATGTCCTTCGAATGCCCATGCGCTTACCAATACACACATATAAACACGCTCAAATATATGTACACGTATGTAAAAGCATGTATTCAAATCAGCTCACTTTGACACGTTGGCGTACTAAACCCCTTCTTTACTTTTGGCATATTTGAATATTCATATGTTATGTACAACAAAATAAAACGAAAAAAAAATTAAAAAAAAATTAAACACAAATATTCAATTTATTTTAACACCGTCAATCCATTTGTAGACGGTTGAATAATAAATACTCGTTAGCTATTTATGACAATAAGACATTTATATAAGTCTAAATTATTATTTATTTATTTGTAGTGATTTGAATATCTAACTGTGGTAGGAAAGTAAATAGAGAAAAAAATTTAAATCAATAATCAAAATATTTTGATTTGGGGTTGAATTAATATTTAATGCTGTACTTATTTTTAGGCAAGGGAGAATCAACTTTAGGTTGACGTTGAGATTATTTTGGAAATACTCATAAGGCATCAAAAATAAAACCAGTATATTCCTGGTAAAACTTCCAGTCATTCTCTTAGAATACGCAATCTTATAGCTTGGAAAGAGAGAAAGAATAATATTGACCTCAAAAATGAATTTACTACAAGGCTCTATTTCAATGAACCCCGTTGATTGATTGTTTGCTCGTTACCAAGCGGTCTTCGGCCTATTGTGATACCGAGGTGAGGCTGTCGGAAAAGTGTCAAGGCTGGATACACAGTGACAGAGGCAGTGTTCAATAAACTCTTCCTCCATTTCGTCCCTACAGCGGCGGCAAAAATTATTAGAGTGAAGTTTTGTTAAACAGTGGCCTGTTATTATGCCTGTCGCTATGCCAATGCAGAGCCGGTCAAGGAGGATAGGATGTTTTGATTTGTTCATGTCCAAAAGCCGTTTGGTCACAATACACATGATCCCCTTCAACCATCTTGAGACTGCTTCTTTGGCAAAGAGCGCTTTCAGCATAAACTTTGCCGTGGACAACAGTAAACCTGCATGGTGTTCATGATTTATTGTGAATAGAAGGTTTCTTTCTTTGCCTGTTCCCCCATAGCAGTGTTGCATGTTGTCGAGAGTTTTTCCGATTGCTTTTACATTTTATAGCCACTTTTAATGTGGTATTGTTACATAGTGGAGTTCTAATGTCATCTTGACTATCGGTATATATCGTAAATGATTGTCCTACTATAGTAGGACTTGCAAAGAGTTCTGCTTGGAACATAAGTGGTCCGGTAGTTCTATGCTCATATTTATTTAGAGCAGCGCAGAGTGGATTCCACAGTCCACTTTTCCAAGGAGCTTTCCGCCGCCTTTAAATAAGGCTGTAGCTCGATGGCGTTCATTTTTGTTTTAGATTTAATGAACTTCGCATCTTTCATTCCTTTTTATGAAGTAAACCGTGGAGCCTCTAAAGCATTTCAAAAACTTTATGGTAGAGTAAGAGGATAACTCTCACGTGACCTGTCATTGGAGCTTTAAGGTGCATTTTGTGACAGACACGACTTACCACAGTTAAATTCTTGACCCCTAAACCGCGCTAGAAAGAAACATCTTCATTTGCAGCGATGCAATAAAAGATCTGGTTTCAATCAGGACAAACTCTAGCATCATACTGTACCATCGCAGAACTCCTCCAAGCAGATTTTTCCGGTTAAAAGACACATCAATATGCCTCTAGTTATATGCAAACTGCCACTGAAGGTATACTTTCACAACTCAAACTGGTATTTTCCCAAGTCAACGCAGACTTGTCCATAATGGAGCCGAGGAGATTCGAATGGCTTATTTTCTCTGAAAGAGAAGGACTGCAAAGGTAATTGCGGCACCGAGGGGGCATTGCCTTAAAGAAAGAAATGCTAGGGACCCCTCTTAATAGTTGAGGAGGAGTTGCAAGATTTACGAAGAGGAAGTAGAAACGATTTTCCAGCTTTATGGATAAGCTATGCCGTGGAGCCGAAACAAATGTAAGCAACTTAAATAGATGTGTAAGGGAGTCTAAACGGAGAGAAAATGTAGATGTAGGACTAAAGAATATTCATTTTTCGTGAAATCGTAATGATTTTGAATTGGCCTTAATGTATCGTTGCTGACATATCGGCAATTATTTGGCATTTTTTAACAGCCGCTATTAGTAAGACGAGTACTGCACGGCCTGACTTGCTGGCAAACTTTGAGAACTTTTATCTAGATAGATCAATAGCATGGAGTCTATACTCGTATGTTCAGGCCTTTATTTCTTTGTGTTTCAAAAAATGAGTTCAAAATAAAGAGCTGAGTTGTTGCAAGATCTAAGAGTTACAATAAAAGAAAAAAATTTAACAAAAAAATAGTCTGGCTCTTCTTTAGATTTTCAAAAAATGATAACTAAAAATTTTAAATAATGCCATTCCTTATTGGGGCAGTACGCATGGTGTACATACATACATATATATATAATTTTTCGCCACTAAACTCTTCATTTACTTAATTTACTTATTTTTTCATTTGCGCTTTTTACGCGCACATTTTTTTCGCAATTCTTTTCATTTTCCCTTTTTGCCATTTGCTTTCAATTTCTCGCTTTAGTCGCACTTGTATCCTTGACCTTAATATAATTTATTTAAAATTTAATTAGCAAACGACGCCAAGCATACTAAGAGCAAATGCTTGCTTGTGGTAGCTGAATGAACTTTCACGCTATATTATATGTATGTATGTATGTATGTATGTGAGAATGTACAAAAATACACATTCAACTGCACCTCTAGAGGGTTGGCTACGAGTATTGAATGACAGTGATGCGTATAATTCAGTAAAACAAACTAAAAATAAAAAATCACTAAAAAGTGAATTACACAGAAAGAAAAAAGTTTTTACTAAATACTTGCACAGAGTCCATTGCTTGATATCCTGACATTGAATAGAGAGCAAATGTCGAACGTTGACGCAGCAGAGCGACACAGTGCAAGCAGTGCATGCCACCGCTGTGGGGGTGTTGAGATTGAAATTGTAAGGCAAATAAGCGTCGAGCGTAAATCGCCTCAGTTCACAGCGCAAATACGGTTAGCTGAACTTGAATAAATACCGTTAACACAAAACAAGCAGTTGAAGGACGCGCGCTCAAACCCCCACACACACATATTTGTGCATCATACATAGAGCATTTTTCGTACACATACATACATACATACACCACAAATATTGTTGCTCTTCCCACCGCCTATCTGTATACATATATACATAATTGGTTTTGTGCTCAATATCCCATATATAGTTATAATTTTTTTTTGTTTGATTTTTCCCATTTCATTTTACTGTTTCACTCACCTGACGGCGTCATCGGTGTTATGCATTTCATATTGTCACTACCGCCACTGCCACTGCTGCTATTCGATTTGGTCGATGAGCCGCGCTCACCGCCGCTGGTCGAGCTGTTGCCATGCGATGAGATCGTTGTCGATGATACTGGTGAACCAATATTATTGTTGTTGCTGCTGTTATTTGAATTATTGTGACCAGCGTTATTGTTGTTGCTATTACTATTATTTGTAGTTGTTGTCTGTTGTTGTTTATTATTTGAATTAGTGCTGCCACTATTGTTGTTGCTGTTGCTGCTACCCTTTATATTGATGTTGCTGCTACTCTTTATATTACTGTTACTGTGGCTAGTCGGACTGCGCTGATGATGTCCATTATGATGTGTATGGCTATGATTGCTATTCAAAAGATTATTATGCACATCAAGACAACGGCTGGAACGTGATGAGCCGCGTGTTGTACCATTGCCGCCACCGCCGCCACTAACAACATTGCCACCACCACCACCACCACCTACGCCCCCATTGCATACTGTAGGCAGATCAAGGCGTGAATTCGAGAGGCGATTGTCGCGGTCGACAACGGCGCTAACGCGCCGCAATTTATCGTTGTCTATTTGAATCTGTGGAGAGAGGGAGAGTTGAAAAATTAGAGAATGAGAAAAATGTGTGCGTAAGTGTGTTGACTTTGTAGCTATTTCACTGCATGCTTTTAGGCGCTGGTGTTAATATTCATTTAAATGATATCAAATGAAAGCTCACCAAAAAAAGTTCCGGTTTCAAATAATTCATTTAAGTTTTAATTTCTATTTATTTATTTTAAAAAATTTTATTGTGCTTTAACTATTCTACGCTGCTCAAGGGCCTAGTTATATAATAGAAAAGAAAAACCTAATTTAAATATTTAAGTACTGAATAGTAAACAAATTTCTTATTCTTAAAATTGTTTATTTAATTTTTGTGAAGTAAATTCTTAAACATATTTTTTTATAATTTTAATATTAAATGTTTTTTAATCAAATTTTAAAATTACTTTTTTTTTAAATTATTTTTGGTTATTTCATGAGAAATGCAACCAAAACCATAGAAGTTTGCTGCTATATAAAAAAAATATCTAAAATATAGGGTTTCGTGGTTTCAGAAGTGAAGAGTTGTATTTTGACATATGTTAAACTCAACTTGCAAGCCAAACGTGTTTTGTTTTAGTTAAAAGCGAGACAAATGGATCGCTTAACAACCGCTCAACGCCTTAAAATGTACTACAAAAATGGTGATTCAAACCATGGTACGTCTCGTGTTTTAAGAAGATATTCCAGCGTACAAATCGTCTAACTACTCAAACAATTGGAAAAATTTTAAAGATATTTGAAGAGACTCGATCGGTTACAGATATTGTGACGCCTGTACATCAAAGTTCTGCTCGATTCACCCTCAAATATTGCTACTGTAAGTGAAGACCCGAATGTGTATATTTATCGATGTTCTCATGAGCTGGGACATTTTTACAGAACATTATACGGAATATCGGACTTAAACTTATGAAGTTCAACAACCGTATGAACTTGAGAACTCTTGAATCGTCAAATTATGGCTGAGAAACCCTCAATATGTGTCAGAAGATGGTCGGAAGTTACTTCAAAGGAGTCGAATTTACAAATATTTGCGAGGTGGGCATTGGAATGATATAATTTCTTACATATAATACCAAGGTTCAGACTTTATAACAAAAAATGGATTTCATGGAAAGAAAATTAGTTTAAATACATTTTATTGACATTTATTTTCGAAACCGCAAAATGGATTACTCTTTATTAGCAACTTTTTGGAGTTTTTTATTAAATTGAAAGCTACTAGCTGGTTGGCTTGCAAGGATGGATGGATGGAGCTAGTTGATGGATTATTTCTGCTAGCAATCAAGAGGCAAATATTTTTTTAAGGTTGTTTATATAAAATAATCAGAAGTCGAATATTTTTTTTGTAACAAGAAGAAGAGATGTCTGCTAAACAAACTCATTTAGTTTCAGTTTTAAGCAAACGTACATAAATAATTTTATTATTTTCTCTGTATTATGTTTTAGGAAGTTTGTTTGAAGCTTTCTAAAAATCTTTACAGGTTTTCGTAAAGATTTCATATGCATTTTTTATTATTGCCTGAAATTTTTCTATCATAAAAGCCGAGAATTCTTAACAATTTAATTTCTTTTATTAGTTTCAGAAATTTATAAAGCTAAATTAAAAATTGCTCCGGTTTATTAGATTTTAATAATTTTTGTATAAAAAACTTTTTATTAATTTTTTTTACAACTTTAAGGGGTAAAGGCTTTCTGGGATTTTGGAAAACGCATATTTTAATTTTTTTTTTTGCTGACAGTGCCTTTGGGTCCTATAAATGGCATGCAATTTGTTTTAAAGTGAAAAAAAATATTTGAAATGTCTGAACTTTTTATAGAGCGTGCGCTGAGTACAATAAAAATTTAAACGCGTTTTTCACAAAAGCACATTTTTCGCACTGGGAGGACAGATTATTCGGACATCGATTTATATGAAATTTCGATGGTAGCTTTACAAATACATATACAAATACAATATCATATTATTAAATGTAAACCTTTTTTCCAATAATTAGTGCGTATTTTTTGATTCGAAAATCAATCTTTAAAAAAAAAAAAGTGTACGGCTTGCACAAAAATCCGTACGCACTTCCAAACCCATAGTTTGTAGATCAGAAAACTTTTTGCTTTTCTGTTCTAGGTCTCATACCTTAGAAGAAATCGGTTTTGTAACAAAATAATAATTAAAGAATATTTCATTTATGCTTCAACATATTTTCAATGAAAGGGTTAAATAGAAATTATATTTCTTTTCCCATATTCCTACAAAAAAAAAGTAAAACATTTCTCTCAATTTACCCTTTAAGTTTCTTTCAAATCTTCAAAAAAAATCATCTAAATTTACACAAAATTCGTTTACTCACCGGCATTTCGCAACGATCCAGCATTTTCCAATATTCTCAGCTTGAGAAATAATTTATTATCCTTCAAGGATATCAATGATTGTAGTTCAGTTAGAGAAGTTTTCCTGCAAATTTTAACGGACACGCGTACATTTGCGATTTGTATTTATGTGGAGAGCTAAAAGAAAATAGAAATCATAGAAATTATTCGTTACAAAAATTTATATTTATTTTATAAAATTAGTTTATAAAATATTAGCATTTTTTATTGAAAAAGTATAATAAGTTTGGAAAGTTTTAAATACGATAGTTAATTTTAGCTTAGTAAAAATAATGTAATAATTCGTTTTGTTATTTTTTCAAGCTAAATATAATAATATTTTTAAGATACATTGGAAAAATTTAGTTCTCCTCAGGATAGCTACGTTATAAATATTATAAAAAATATATAATTTATTTAGTAAAAATTGAATTGCCTTAAACACCAACTTTGCACCTTTCGTGCCTCAGATTGGCTTTAAAATTTTAATAATTAAAATTTAATTGTATATGTATTAACGGTTAAATTTAAAATATTCCAAATATTACAGTTAATACCACTTTTTTAGCACATTTCTGCTTAATTAATTGTGTCACTACTTCAGATCGTGTTTCACTACAAAAATGCCAGGTTTCAAAAATTTTTTTTTTAAATGCATAAAAAAAAACTATAAAAAAAATTTTGAGAATAACGAAAATAAGCAAAATTTTTTTAGTCCAACCTGCTCGTGAATAAGAGAAACAACAAATAATTGCAAGCAACAGAAAAATACTGCATTTTAAATGCCATTTGACAAGTTAAATAGCTAAAAGTGTATGCTACTATTTGCTTTTGTTGTGCAAAAATTTTATTTGCAAATATTTACATACATACATACATAAATACGTGCTGCTAGTCGCAGAAGGGGATACCTCGGCACAATCCATGTAAATACTAATATAATATATTGCAGCTTATTGACGCTTCAACATCACTACCAACAAAATGTCAATGCAGCTGACGTAGACTGCAAGCCAGCTGCCATGGCGCACAAGTCGTGCTGCGCATGCGCATTAGCGTACATTTAGTTAACCACAAAATGGTTGGCTTTTCATTGCTGTGACAAAATAAAAAAAAAAAAATGGCAAAGTCGTCATCATTGTCATAATAATGAAATGTTTTGTGTGCAACACAACTCACAAAGCAACAACAGCTCATCGAAGTTGATTGTCAATTGGCATGACTGAGTGACTGACTCGTTAAGTTTGATGCGCAGCAGTGAATGCTGTTTGTTGGTTGCAGGTATTATTCAGTTTTGTGGTTGATAGCTACTCGGCTCGACTCGCCTGGCTTGAATGACTGGTGCTTTTACTAGCTGCTAAGCGTCACGTAGTCTACTATTTACAGCTGACAGCTGTTGCTCACTTGCGGCTGACTGCTGTTTTATAACTAACTAACATTTGTTAACTTTTATAGTTGCCATTGCTATTGTCTACGCCATTGCAGTTCGGTTATCCTTAATAACATCGGTATGTGCTGCACCCTAATTTGTTGCTGGCACACACACATGTGCATAAATTGGATTTTAAAAATTATGGTAATTAACTTTTTTTAAATAAAAGCAAATTAAAATTTTTAAAAATTTTTTTTGATTTTTTATGTTATATTTTATATATATATATATATATATATATATTCATATAATTGGCGCTCTGTAACCGCTGAAGCGATTTTTGGGGCGAGCTTTTCCACCAATTTGTGGTTTTGCGTCATTTTTCCCCAACAAATGGAGGGACCTACACTTTATACTAAGTCGCCTTTCCGAACAGCTGTTGGTTTTACAAGGAGCTTTTGTTTCATGTCCGAAATACACTTGGAGGGGTGTACATTGCCTGCCGAAGGGCGACCGCAATTAGAAGATTTAACTCAATTTTCCATAACTTTTGGTTTTTGGTGGCACCGGGATATGAACCCTAGCCTTCCGAATGTCAGTACGCAATCCTAGTCACGCGGCTACCGCGGCCACCAATATAGCACCTTTTAGCCTGGAGTGCAAGGATGTGGCGACTTGAGGGTTGATTAAAGAGTAGCAAACGAGAAGCAAGTCTTTCTCAACGGTTACTAATGTAAACCAATCAAAAGTGGAATATTTTTTATACCAAAGACTATAAGGTAGATATTATCTTATAGAAAAATATACGCAACTTGAAAGTTGCTTGTCTTTCATACGCTCTTAAATCGCTATGTCATCCTCATAAGGGTTACCACAGAGCAGTGGTTTTTAGTTACGTCTGGAGAAATGAATGGCATATGGAAACTGGGAGCTCAAAGGACACACACAACTGCAGCCGATGCTCTCTTCGTTGGTGTTTGAGCATGCAACTCTGTACGGAAGCCATAATTTCCATCTACAGATGACACTGCGGCTAGTAAAAATATATCACTCATCCCTGTTTGGAAGTGTGCTGTTAATCCACCTGCTGTGAAATGCATTGAAGACCGATATTGGTATATTAAATCTTTCCCTTTTGTTTTAGCGACATAAGGTGAGTTTGATTTCTGCATGTGTGTGCTTTAATTATGGATTAAATATAATACACTTTAAAACCTGAAGCTTTCTTTTTCAGCTTTTCGAGCTGCCAGGAAGGTTGGCTACTATTTTTGCTATCAGGGCGGAAGGATGATTAGAAACATGATTAGCTGAGCAGTTCATCAATCTGAGTGATGATTTTGTTGAAGAATATCAATTCTTTTAATTATGTTAATGACTAGAACTAGGATCGGCTACCAGACGAATAAACAAGACGTAAATATATTCCGTTGGGTTATCTTCGAATCCGTTGAACGGGTTGAAGCTTTAAAGACCAAACTTCAGGTCCAGACCTAAGAACCATCAATCGTCTATGTTGAGGTCAAGATCTAACTGTTATAGTCATTGTGAAGCTCTTCTTGTCTATGGTAGGAGCCACTTTTTTTAATGATTGGAAAGTATTTTTGCCACTCACTAAGTTCTAAGGCTCATAATCAGTATCAAAGTCAAATCAGGTGTATCCAGATTTTGAAAGGAAATATTTTTAAATAGGGTTGCCACTTACTCAGTTCTGAGACCCATAATCCTTATTGAACTCACATCAGTTGTATCTAGATTTTGGTAAGAACTACCATATATTTTCGGCTCACATTTAGGCAGACTTGCAATTGAGAGTATTTTTAGAAAGGGTTGCCACTCACTAAGTTCCAGGGCCCATAATCCTTATTGGTCTTATATCAGCTGTATCTAGATTTTGGTAAGATCTGCATTATATTTTCGGCTCAGATTTAGGTAGACTTGTAATTGAGAGAAGAAGGGGTTGCCATTTGTTTAAAAATACTAATTAAAAAATATTTAACTATTTGAAAGCTTGCAGCGAGAGTTATTCCTAAGCAATGTTGCTACCAGATAATATTAAAATATATGAAAGTTTACTACCTTTGAGAATTTTTTTTGAACATAATAAAGTTTTGATCCAAATACTCACATGAAACACACAACAAATGTCTAACCACAAAATGAGTGCATTTATTTTACCACAAAAAAGTAACAACAACAAACGGTATAAATATTTACTATCTTTTTCAAACTACTAATTATACTCCTGTTTAGTAGCCCACTACCCCCAATGCACGATTTTAGCGCTCATTACAATACAAATCACGCACTCTTTGTAAGAATACTTAAATGTCAAAAGTTTTTACCACAATTTCCTACTAAAAAATAAAAAAAAACAACAATAACAACAAGTAAGTACACGGCGCTGCTAATAGAAGCATCGAGAAATGTTTGTGTTACTTTTCAGCATTTTTTTTTTGGTAAAGCTTTTTTAGCATATGAATTTATGTTTACCAATGTACATATATAAAAATATTTGGCTGTTTCGCCTGTCATTCGATTTGTTCCACACACACCGATGTTGTTGCACGCTAACCTGTCACAAACTGCAGCTAATACTAAGTTAAAATATAAAAACAATAATATAAAACCAAAAAGCAAATGAACATGACAAAACATAATGTTTACAACAGAGAAATGACAGTGAATGCGGTTAACCCTTTAGCCGGTCGCCTGGCAATACTTTTTATTTGTTTTTTATGCAGCTATGGGTAGGCAGGTAGGCTGTGAGGGCGAGTGTGGTTGCACTGACGAAATGTGATTGCGAGAGAAAAATATGCTTGCGTACGAGTGGTGAGGATTGATTGGCGTCATTGACGTTGTTGTATTCTTTAGAAGTGCAATTATGTGAGTGCACGTGTGTATTTTTGAAACAGAGGAGTTAACTCATGAGAGCAGAAATAAAGCTTTTTTTTAAATTACATAAAATAAAATAAAATAGAAAAACATAAAAAACAAGATAACAAAAAAAAAATAGAAAAACTTAAAAAAATAAGATTAAATATAAAATATTTATATCTAAAGTAAAATAAAATAAAAAAAATAAAATTAATTTCAAAAAATGTATAGTAAAGCAAAAAGCAAAATAAAACTTGAGAGACCAAAAATCTTTTATTTTGTTTTTTTTTTTGTGTTTTATATATTTCTTTATTTAATTCTGATTTTTATTTTATTTTTCTATGTACTTGAAGTAAAATGAATTAAAACAAAATTAATAGAAATTTAAATAAAATAAACTTGAATGCAATATATCCAACAAAGCAAAATAAAACAATATAAAGTAAAATAATATAAGGTAAAAAAAAATTATTAAAAGAAAAACAAAATAAATAAATATAAATTTAAACAACATAATATAAATAATAATAAAAAACATAAAATAAATTATAGTAAAATAAAACAAAAGAAAATAAAATAAAGCATAATAAAATAAAATGAAAATAAATTGAAAAATAAAATAAAGTAAATTTATATCAAAAATTTACAAAAGTAATATAAATAAGAATAAAATAAAAAGAAAAATAAATAAAAAATTAATCAAATAAAATAATATCAAATAAAATAAAATAAAGCAGACGAAGTAAAATAAAGCAAGAGATATAAGAAAAAAATAATAATAATAAAATTAATTATTTAATTAAGTCAAGATAAAAAAAATAAAAAAAATTATATATAATAAAATCAAAAAAATATCATTAAATAAGGATAAACATTGAAGTAATACAACAAA